AAACTCACAAAGAATGAAAATCGAATTAAAAATTAACTGTTTTAATTAATAATAGTTATCAATTACCAACTTTGTACCGCGACTCCGTCCGCGTGGTATTAAAAAAAGTGAACCTACGTGTTCTTCCAGACTGCCGTTTAAGCTACAAACTCTAACAAACACCCATCTAAACTTTCGCAGTTATAATATTAGTATATTAGTATGATTAGTCTAAGATCACAGTCGAACCCTAAATCACCACTAAAAATTTCACCTTTATTACCACAATACTTAATTAATCTAACGAAATTATAATTACAACTGTATCCCAATAAAAACCGTTATAAGTGTTAGTTTATTTTAAATTACGTAAGAAAACAAAGCTCCATAAGAGAATAATTCAATCAAAATATTAATTTTCCACCCGAAGCAGCGCGCTACTTTACATAAACATAATACAGCTGCAAGTTTGTTCGAGAAAACTTCACAACGACCTTGGAAGGTTACGCTGCGACTTGCGCTCAAGTTATATTTAATGCGACTTAATACAACTACGTCGTATCTTTTGTTCTAAAACGTATTAAGATATAATTAATCCGCGCAATATTATACATCAGTCGATAAACCTTTAACAAAGTAATAGGTTATTTATAAGTAATATGATTAATAGGTTATTTTATATTCTTCAGTAATTACAACCCTTTAAATAACTAAAATTCAAATCATTCTACAATATACGAAGTTATATTTTAATTCTTGTATTCAGAAATAAAGCTTAGCATATACGGTACTTATCGGTACGGTACTATACGGTATTAAAAATAATGATATACAGAATTGTTGAAGAATGCAAAGTGTTGTAATACATTTTGTATCCAAATATATCTTTAAAATCGTAGAATTAATTAAAATAAACGAAGTTTTGATTTGCATTTAAATGAAACGAAGCATTTACTGAAGTAATCCGAAGCCAATAACGTCGGCGCATCGTTCCGAAATTGGAATCCACAACAAAGGGACGTCAAAGAAACTAGCAAGTGCACGCGTGCTCGCCGGCATAAAGAGCGACGGTGCGCGGCTTAGGAGCCTCGTGCGTCCATTACCCCCACCCGACGGGGGGTGCCGAAAGTACAGGGGGTCTCCACCGCCTCACACCCGAAGATGCATCCAGTTCTGGACGAAACCGCACTGCCGCTTGCACAAAATGGTAATGAGTTTGAACTCTTATTTATTCAGCTGATAGTTATTGATTACTTTAAACGTTTAATTTGAAACCGGATTGTTTAATTTATGTATTTATGTAAACAACTGAGGGAAACCTCCGAGTAGAATAAATCTTTAAGGTAACTCAAGTGATGACAAAGTTTATGTAGGTAAATATAGATAGATAATCAATATCTGTCAGAATCGAGTTAATTCTTTAGCATTGATGATTGACGTTTCAAGATTATACTATTTAGAATATCAAGACAACGTAGGTTAGTAGACTGTACTTAACCGAATGATAAACCTTCATTTTTTTCTTTATTTTCTAACATCGCCAATTTTGTCATCGTGTTAATTTACGATGCAAAGATAATGACGCAATAATCCCTACCTCAGTGTAAGCGCAGATTTTACAGACGATAGAGCTAAATTAGATACAGGTGATTAGAAGAGGTCTAGCAGACGAACACCAAAGATGTATTTATCGTAGGTAAGCACCTGGCCATACGTTAAAGTCACGACATGCCCCTACCTCGATAAATCGCATTACGCTCCACGTGCCGAGCATACATTTTTAATCTTGTTTCCTTTACAATATCCGCTTTAAAACCATCCAATGTTCCCGCAACGTACCACACTGACATACGAAATCAAAAAACAGACAAGAATCACTAACATTATTGCAAATTGTTGTCTCATGATACTTCATATTAAAACCACACAAAGGAGTTACACAAACTTATGCAAACATTTTATACTCTCGATTTGCACCAAGTAAAAAAGTTGTAATCATGTAAGTGGTAGGCAGAAATGAAGTGACTGAAATGCGCAAGAGCGCATTAATTACCAAAAACTTTTTAAACGTATAAAGGAAGTACTGAAAGGCGACAAAAATTCGTGTGCATATTCGTTGGTACAATAACGTCACCAAAAACAAACAGAACATTTCGCGGAACGTTAATAACACTCACGCTGGCATCCATAGCTCTTTTCATTTGGTACGAGCCGTGCAGGCTGTGTCAAAGCACGTAATTAGTATTTAGGAAGGTGGTAAGAAAGGCGAGGTCGTGGGCCAGACGTCGGGTATCGATCCACCGACCTGCCCCACGCCCGCCCCCCGGGTGGCTGCAGGGGGCCACGCACATCGACCCACCAATTGACACACTTAAGGTAATACTTTGCACTTACGATGTCGCCATTGCTCTTGCCCAATACACTTTTTGTTGAGAGAAACGAGAAAACATTTTCCTTTTTAACTCTACAAGCAACTACTTTGTACTATACAAAACACATATTCAGTAACATAATCGTAATGTTGAACATACTTTCACCCACTGTTACTTTTGTTATTCGATTTCCTACATAAATAATCACTAATTTTAAATGGACTAACTTTTGCATGGCAGGTATAAAGCTGGCAGAAATAGTTGAAAGTTACAGAAAGCTCGACCCAGTTGGCTTTGAGCCCGTCTGTGGGTCGTAACAGCACATATAGAAGTGAGCGGCATTATTTAACCTTGAGCTTAGCGAATTGCTTTCCACTTTAATATTTATTGTCATTGTAAAGTGCCATAAATAAGCAAATAGTGTTCCAGAAATGAATAATAATAACATATGCTATTTTAACATGAGTATTAGGATTAAGAAATCGCTAGAAGATATTATATAACAGGTCCTTTCTTAGATGAACATAATTAAAAATCTTACTAGCGAATTAATAATAGATGTCATATCATGTTCAATTTCTTATCGTTTTTCTCAAATTATTTTACCTTACTCTCTCGAATTTATTTAATTTTGATTACGTTAACGTTTCTCTGTAGAACTAAAATTCCTCTTTCTTTATAAAGGCAATTTCCGGCAAAGAAATTATGGGTGAAAATGAGCAGAGCACGCAGATTGTCCGGAGCGACGGCAGTGCAGCGGGGCCGGGGTAGGGCGAGAGGAAGGCAGGGGGCGGACAGCGGGTGCCACAGGGGGGTGTAAAATCACCCGCAATCATTTATAGCCCAAACTACACCTTCAGAATTACTACTTGTCACTAAATTCGCTATCTTAATATTAAAATAATACTTTAACATAAGGAATACTTTTAAATACATTGTATTATTTTGATATGCTACAGTATGCTTACAACTTAAGTCTTACTTTAAAGTTACCATTGTATCTTATATGAAAATTTTAAGAATTCTGAATTATTGTAGTACACCTATTTTATCTATGAGAAACAAAAACGAATCACATCAACTAACATTTACAAAATACTCTAGTACAAGACAATATCGTACAAATGTTAAATTCAATATTGGATAAAAACAATAATTTGGTAAAATAATTCGGCGCGGCGTAGATACTCGTCTCGTAGATGCGCTCGAGGTCACGTGGTGAGACTACGGCGTAGCTATTTGTGTCAGGAGCCTGCATCCGTGACCCACTTCCCGACACCCCTTCCCGGGGCCCGCTGCCGTATATTTTGGTCTAGGTTGTGTCAAGCCTTGTTATACCGCCAATAGAGCTTTATTTATGTTGCTCTGCATTACTAAATTGCTATCGTTTTAGATTAATTGAATAAGAAATGTTGGAAAATTATTTTTGTAATTGAAAAAGATTGAAGCGAAATAGAAGATTTAAATTTCATTTAAGCGTTAATTAGATTAAATGAGAGTTGTAAATTATTCAAGTGAGGTTTTAGTCTTGCTTCAAAAGAAAAATTATGTCGATTTAAATATGGCTACTAAAGTACTATTAAAATAAGCTAGCTTTTCTTTTATTGTTCTTTTATATCAAGTTTTATTAATGTTAGTAAAATGTAATATAAAACATTGAAGATCTCTAACATCAGACGCCTATACCTCGAGTCACGTCGCCAGTAGAGTAAGTTAAATTAATTGCACTCGCATGGGTAGATAATAAAATAGGAATTAGTATTTAATAATAGCTTGTCATAGTCAGTTCATAGCCCGCAATTTTAAAATACGCTTTAAAAAAACAATAATTTTAACATAACCTATAAATTGGTGTTAGCGACATCTTGACTGAATTGCGTGAAACTTTACCAGTGTATCATTCAGCACGATTGCTCAATTTGGATATCGCTGGCATTAGTAAATACCAATTCATTGCCTATTCAAACCATCAAGGTTAAATTAATAACTTTGATAATTAGTGTAACGAAAACTATTTACTATTGACTGTAGATTTTGATCTTAAGTTTTCTAATTAAACTAATTTGTGTATCCGTAGCGAACTTTCGAAGCAATTATAATGCAGTATGCATTTAAATCGGACAAAAATCACAAAGCGCATTTTCCTTAGATTATCGTATACGCGCAATCGCGCACGAATTAGCATGAATAATGAACGGTTCGCGCCGCCCCTGTCACGATCATCTCTAATTGCTATATCTAATTAAACAGAATATCAACATAATTGCAGACGGCGGCCGCGGCGCGACGAACCGACCGGCAAATTAGACGCATCGCTCGCGTTTCAATAATAAACTTTAATGAGAACAAACCGCTAATAAAGACAATGTTCTTGGATCGTACAATGTAAGCTTTGTATTTTTTTATGAAGTAATTCAACATTATAGTAATCGGTTAATGTGATGGCTTACTATAAGAAATACGAAAAAAAATGAATGACATAATGAGATCAAGATCACTAAAGAAAATTGATAGGGATAATTGAATACTTTATAAAAAGGAGTAAATGTACAGAAAATGAGCTAACTAAACATTCAATATACTTTTATTTAAAGATGAAAAATTTCTTTGATAAATTATAAGAATTTGACGATAGTAAAACAACGCATAATAAAGAATAAATCATTTACTTTTCATTTGTGTTGTGTTAACGTAAGGCTTGTAATCACTTGGAATCATTTATGTAATTTAAAATATTTACAATGTGTCAAACACGTTATATGATAAATGGATTCCTCAATAATTCTTATATAAGTACGTTATTATAAAAAAGTATACGCATATACATTTAAATATGTTTTACATGATGTTCTATAAGGCCAATAGTTACAACTAAAATACTAACAAACTCTCAAGGACCATGTAATTTACTTAAAACCGACTCAATATCAATATTTTGGATATTCGTTGTATTTAAAAGATATTGAGTATCTCTTTTTGTTTTCTTTATGCAATTTATCGATTCCTCTGACGATCCGCTTTGTAATCGTTTCCTCTTTTTTAAATCAGTTTTCTCAACATATTCCACTTTTTCCACTTCTAGTGATATTTCAGTAATATTGTTACGTTCACATTCAGGTGACTTAGGACTGCCGGGTTTCAACGGCGTGTCCAAACTAGTCAACGTAGAATCAAAAATATCATACATTTGCGCTTTATGATCTTTCAATGGTGTATATAATTTGTCAAAATTCGATATCGACGATACAGCCATTTCAGTCTCTTTGTAACTGTAATTAACCATTTCTTGGGGATCTTGGTCTAACAACACGTTAAAAGTTGTCGCTCTCAATCTAATCGTAACACCGTCGTCTACACAAATCTCCATTGAATAGTTATCTTTCAATTTTGATTCTTGACCTGATATTTTATCATTAGCGTTATATTCGTAATGAATATAGTTGACGGTATCTTCATTACATTCGTGTATAGAAAGTTCTATTTCTTCATCATCATCATCATCTACTTTTAGACTATAAGAATCTCCGCTACCAGTAATATTTTCAGCAACCTGTATTTTAATTTCATTACTTTCAGTTGGTACTTCTGTATCTCGTTTAGAACATGGTGAATCTAATAGATCTCGTTCTATTATTTTAGCAGTTTCAACATCGAAACCTCTTTTGATTAAATCGTAATGCAAACTACCTTCACTTTTAGGTTCGGATTTATCTGTAGTGCATGTTTCGATGTATTCTTTAATTTTAGATATGTCATCAGTATCAGTAAGTGATACGGAATCAGTTTTGTGTTGTGTTAATGTCTCGTCTTGAGATCCATCGTCCGACCATGTTAAAGGTTTTTGTTCGATGTCGGATTCTCTAGAAGGAGCACGAACTTGTTGTGTCTTGTTTTGCTTTGGTTTAGCAGTTTCAGGTGACGTATGGTTGGAACTTTCAGAGTTGAATATTTTTGTACAATGAAGTTTTCTAGGCGTTGAAGATTTTCTACGTGATTTTGTAGGGATCGATGCGGATGCAGGAGTTAAGTTTTCATTTCTCTCCTTGCTGTTGGGCTTTTTCTGTTTGTTTGAAGATTCTGATGTTTTTCTAGTTTTACCTCCTAATACTTCTTTGATCGGTGTAGTTCTTCTCGGTTTTATTTTCATAAATGTTTTTGGAGTTTCTCTTTTTATGGGTGATTTAATTTTCTTTACGGGTTTCTTACTTTTATTTGTATCTTTTCTTTTATCTTTAACTGTAGCGTCTTTGGAACTTTTAGTAGTAGTGCGATCATCTAAAGTGTTTTCGACTGTACTATTGATTACACAACTCTGTTCAGAACTTTCTAATGGGGTAACTTTAGTAGGTACACTCTCTTTGTAAGATACATTCTTTCTACATTGTCTCACAGGTCTCCCAGATTTACTTTCTTTGTGTTTCTCAATATCTCCTTCAGGTTGTTTAGTTGATGTAATATCAGTATTGGATTGTATCTTTTCTTCTTGTCTTAGGGGACTTTCTGGCACATCCGTGCAAATAATAAAATCTTGATCATCGGGTTTGTAATATGATCCACCACTAGAATAATCAGTCTGTCTAGAAGAATAACAACATGATGGTGTAGAATTCTTTTCATTAGAATCACGGAGAAATCTCGGTGTAGGTATACTCATGATTTTCACTTCTGACATTGGTTCATCAGGTAAATCTGTACCTAAAAATTTTGGTGTATCCATTTGGATATCATATAAAACTTGTTTATACGGAGTTTCTAATAAATCTGATATATTTAGTTTGGCACCAATCACATTTTGCAAAGCTATTCTTTCACTTTCGGGGGTTTCCGTTCGGTCTACACTACCATAAAAATTGTTTACGTTTCTATCTTCTACGGGCTTTATATCTTCTACAATCTTTTTATCTTCTGTCATATTCTTACTTTCTACTTGCTTATCTTCCACAGTATTTTTTTCCTCTTTAATCTTTTTCTCTTCTACTATACTTTTATCACATCTAATATTAACATTTGCCTTAACAACTAGAGGGGATTGTTCACTTTTATTAACATCTTTATCTATATTATCGTTAGAATCTGATTTGTCTTTCTTCTTTTTTTCTTTACTCGTATCCTTATTTGCTCTTTTTTTCGTAATTTCATTTTCATCTGAATTTTTCTTCTTAATGGCCTTTTCTTTAGTTTTATATTTTGACTTTTGTGTAGATTTAACAGGTGTGTTAATTCCACATACTGCAGCAGCTCGAATATCAGCATCCCAATTCTTTTTCGTTATAACTTTGTTTTCTTTTGCTGCGTTAGATTTTAATTTTGGACATTCCGTATTTTCTATATTTATAATATCTTCCTGGACAACATCAACTTGGACCTGGGATTCTTTACATGGTACTTGAACTATTTCATTATCTTCTGTGTGATCAGGGTCTTCTGGACTTTGTTCGTTAATAGTTTCAGTCAATATTCTTCTTGGTGTTGTGAAATCCAAAACTCTAACATGTGAATTTCTACGAGGAGTTGATGATGATTTTCTATGGGGAAATACACCTTGTGGTGTAGTTGCTTTCGGTAATGTTGAAGTAGTTGTGGTACTAATTGGATTTTCCCTAGACTTCAAGATATGTTCTGTAGATTCCACTGTTTTGATAAGACTTTGTTCAGTTTGAATATCTTGTTCACCGCTTGGTATATTTGATGAATTCACTGGCGGTTCAATAACTGGGGATGTGACGTCAATTAAAAGTGGTTTGAGTAAATCTTGAGAAGCACTAGAAGTAACTGTTAGCGGTTTAGGATCCACAGATATTGGAGCTAGTGTTGCTGAATCTGTTGAACTTGGTGGTGTCCCTGAAACTATAATTAAAATTTCATATCAATTTAAATTTATGTATTTGACATAACTAGGCTTAAAATGTAACCTACCTGTTGCAGGAACAAGAATTATTGTTGGCATTGCCATTATTTCATCTGATGTATATTTAAGTTTTGCCAAACATTGTGATTTTACATTATTTTTGTAAGCTGGCGTTCCGTTAATTAATATAGTTGGCATTTGAAACGGCGTTGACGTTGCGTTACTTAAAACCGGTGGCATTTTCTGTTTACCACTCAAACTTTCATACGATTTATCCACTATAACATCTGATAAGATTTTTATTTTATTTTCTTCTCGTTTTCTGGCATTCACTTTTTTACTTTGGGTTATTTTTGGAGAGCAAGTAGTTATCAAAGGAAACCCTTGGGCGTTTTTACTGCTGTCGACTGTCAGTACTAAATGACCTTTGGACATTAACTCCTCCTTTGTCAAACTTCCAATATTTACATATGTGTTACTAGCATTTCTTATTAAAGGCGCCCTAAAAATATTATAACATAATAGACAAATGTACAATATTATTACCATTTTTCAAATTGAAAACATCAAAAACTTAATAATGGCATAATTTTATTATTGTTATTAAGACATATGGACATTTTAAATTCATTATAAAGATAGCTGTCTATACTTACTGCGCGTTGTTATCACTAGGTATATTGGATTTATAAGATACTTGAACTGAGCCATTACCTGGAAGGAAAAAAATTACAATCAAATGTCATAATATAACTATATTATACTAGCTTTCGCGTGCGACTCCGTACGTGCGTGATTAAAAAATATAGTAAATAGCTGTTCTACCAGGCTAACCTTTACATCTATGCCAAATTTCATTAGGATCGGTTCCGCAGACTTTAAATTCTAACAAACATCCAAAGTTTTGTATTTATACTATTAGTAAAAAGAAAGATAACTTACTATATATACCAGTTGCAAAGTCCTGGAATGTCCCAGCTGTTGATAATCTTTGGTTTTCATTTGTGACATTGTTTGTAACTGGATATGAGGTTTGTTCAGTTCCAGTTTTACATACATAATCCAATATATTGTTGAATTCTTCTATTTTTTGTACTGATTCAGACTTAATGCATTTCGCCTGGAATCAAGAAAAAGCAAAGAAATAAAATAAAAATTCTTGCAAAAAATCTTTTCATTCTTCAAATTCTGAAAAAATTTTGTACAATTGATGAAATTTAAATATCTCATTTTTATAGAAAAATGCAAAATTTAGTATAACAGACAGCTAAAATACTTGCCAAATCTACATTATTTGATCCTTGTTGATTGCTTGTATCATTTTTCACTTCGGTCAATAAAGTTGTATTCACATTAGCGGGTGATACTGGACATATTTTACTTTCACAATCAATATTAAGATGAGAGTTTTTTGTTTCTGTATCAAATGGTTTAATCGATTTTTTCTTAATGGTTGAATTTCCTGCAAAACAAATAACAGTTTTAGGGCTGCCACACAGACAATTTAGCTAATTCCTACTGCTTAGTAACCAATATCTCCTGTATGTACATATTATCTCCTTTACATCTTAAAAATAATTCGCATTGTTTAAATCAATGTAAGTATAATTGATTCTCCTGTTATCAGGAATTACCAAAACATATTGTAACTAGAACATTTTCACAATTAAAAACCATGTAATGATAATGTCCAAAAACGCTAAGCCATGATGATTACGCAAGCAGACATGCTATAAACTATAAAATATTTTCAAATTGGTTAAAGGAAATGTGTAATAAATCATCAAATATGTGGTTAGTATATGGCATAGTACAGCTAGTATAATGATTACATATTTACAAATGCCCTTTTATTTCATTAATGCAATATCAAAATTAAATTGTATAACATGATACATCCTAATTTTATTTTGATAAAAAGGTCAGATTATATAAATTACATACAAGAATGTGATAGCAAAATTAATCACATAAATAATAGTCATTCTTAATTATCAGTATACTTATATGGATTTTGAACACAAAAGAAAAATGTACTAGAACCACAATAATTATATAAAAGAAATTACTATCTATTTCTTGTTTATGGCTCTCCCTCAGCGGATTAGACCAATGTTAGTGTTTATGGTTATTGTATTATAATTTGGGAGAGACTGGCAACAATAATGTTTGAACAGATATCTCTGCCAAACCCTTTGTAATATGAGTTATGTATATACCTGGAAGATCTTCCAAAGAAGTAGTCTCCACAGAACTATCCAATGTTGAATTTTCTATTTGGCTTGTTGACTGGGGATTTGGTTGCACTGGGTTACTCGGAGGCACTATATTTACATTCTTTGTAAAACTGAAATAATATCCCAAAACATTTTTAAATATTTTTAATATTCAGCTAAATACTCAAAATCATTTATAAAGATATGATTAAAAGCTAATATAAATTACAATTACTTTTTAAAAATAACATAAAATATTAATATACCTCAATTTTTCAGTAGTTTGCTCCTGTTCATATAACTTGTTTATATCAACATTTTGAATGAGAAATTTCACCATTTCCAATAAATTGTAACATTGTAGCAATTTCTTTCTTAGTGCAAAAGGCTTACATGTCTCCACTGTAAACAACATTTAGCTTGTTAATGAAATTCATCATAAATTACATTACATCTATTTCTATTCAAGTATTTTTGGTAAAATAAAATGATATAGATATGTCTCAAATGTACACTGTAATAACATAAACCGGTTTAGCTGATTTGTAAGATAAATATGTATTTCCATTACAGTGATGAGTGATGATTTGATCAAATTTAAGGCAATAATGGATTCATTGAAATATATCACAGCATAATATTGTTATATTCCTTATTCCATAGCCTTGAAATTTGATTGACGTCCATGAGACGATGAACCGTTGCAGGTGGCATATTTTAAGAATTTCCAGTCTGTTATCATTACTTTAAAAGTCAAACTAGATTATAATTTAATTACATAATTATTCCATTTATTTTGGTTAACATACCGTAAATTTTAACAGCTCGATACTCCGCCAGAATATGTTTAAGAGATGTCATTAATATCCTGTCATACTCATTTCTAAGAGCGTCTAAATAGGGACTAGCTTGGAGAAATTCATCGTAAGCAGTCATAAGCTGTTCCTCTGCAAGATAACCTGCAGGAATGAGAATCAATCATTGATAAATTACTTGAATTTTAGTAAATATAATGTATAATCTAACTCCCGCCAAATAACAAAAAACGTACCCAGAACAAGCTTCGCTAAATCCTGTGATGGGAACGGTGGAATCGCCATTGTAATTCTTACTTATAATTAAAATCAACTATCAAAATAGTCTACAACATTCACATGCATAACAAGCTAAAATATACCCTTTTTAAAATCTTAAATAAACAGTAAACAGTTATAACCCGACATAAGAACAACGAACTATATTTGACAACTAATCCAGTGTTGCCAATGTCACTTCCGCGCCGTACTTCATTTGGGTGGCGCGTGAACCTGCATTCACTACCAGACGAGGTTTTTTTTTCATAAAGTAGGCTAATAATCAACTCTAACAGTAGCATGAATACGTACAAAATTATATTATGAATCATAAATAAACAGTGAATAATTTAAATAATAAGTAAATAATTGCAATTTTCTTGTAAATGATTTCTCTTGTGCCTTTCTTCCATAATGAATGCCCTAATGCCTTGTTAATAATTTTACAAAAGTTAATAGATGTATAAATATTTAAATATGTTATAGATTTATACCAGGTTTAATTAAGCAATTAATTAAAAAAATTGTAAAATGTTAATAAGTACGTTGACTTTAAAAGTTACCATTTGATATTATTTGTCAATTATTTATACTCATTGATTAATCCATTCATCATTCATCTCGTTCACTCTTATTCTTCTTATTTTAATGGCGGTTATGGTGATGAAATCTGTGTTTTACATTGAATTTTATTTAAATTAAGTCGTACTGATAGAAACATTGTTCAAAGATTTTATACATTTGTTTTTACTGTACCTCAACTTTTAAGAAATATCTGAAATATTAATATAATGAGTACTGCCGCTTCAACTCCGCTTTTTGCTTGTTCTCGTTGTTTCTCAAGACATCCTTTTGAAGAATTATCTCCAGGAGAGCAGCTTTGTAAGGTATCGTAGTGGACTTATGACATGACAACTTCTGTTAGCACTTTTCCTTATTTACGTGACTCATATTTACTGTAAATTGTATATTTACATTGTCCTGTTATTTGACGTCATATGACGCAGACATATCTTGATTTTTCAGGAATGTCGCGGTTTATTCCCTGTTGTCAAATGTACCTATTGCCGTTCCGAATTTCAACAAACAAGGTCAGTACCATTTTCTTAAGGAAAAGTAAAAGTCATTCACAATTTGCTGGCATTACCTAAAGCACAAACATAGATTTATACCACGTATTGTACGTTCAATAACATACTTTTTGTTTATAAATAACCTATTTTTGTTAATTTCTGGCACCGATATCACGACGAACTATTAAAACATAATTGGCATCATACAATACATTTCCTTTGTGATGAGTAATAAGATAATTTTACAAAGTTTTTTATAAACTAGGCTAACTGTGAATTATTGTATATCATAATGTCATATGTGGCTTTATGCCCTTGTTTCTTTAACATGTTAAGTTTTGTAACACCCAACTTTCTACTAACACCATATTGTGAATTGCAAAATGTGATTGACATTATTTTAATTAGTACTGTTTTAAATTGCTGCATTTAAAACAATGAACACCATAATTAGTGTCTTTTATGTATTTCTATCTGCATGTTAATACATAATTACATTATTCACTTAATTTAATGTTTATCCTAACTAAAATGTTCTGTACACATCGTATAAATATTCTTTCTCCGTCAATAACTAACATCTCAATGATTTTCAATACTATTCCATTACATTTACATAATCCTTTCAAATTATTTAATGTGATTACTGACCTCTTTTAATGGACAGGCTATAACATTTTGTGCTTGTTTGATTTGCACTATTTTGTATAATGGGAACAGTTGGCAGTTGGATATGTTTCAAATCAATAATATAGATAAACTGTCAGTGAAATCAACAGGTGCATTTAAGTTGGCACAAAACAAAATAAATCAAAAACAACAACCTGTCCATTTAATAGATATCAGTGGTTTAGAGACAATGCCATGACTACTTATGTAGTATTAATGTATAAAACATCGGATAAACAAGTAAACAGTTATAGAGTTAATATCTTTGGTTGGATCTTATTATCATTGTTGTTTCTATCATTCAGACATTCAATTCATTATACAAAAACCATTGAAACTCATAATGATAACTAAATAATGAACATTTATAGAACTAAAATGATAACAGACAAAAATGACAAAAAACATAATAATCTATTATGAATGTTACAAATCAAAAGTTTTGTAATAACATGGCATAATCTTATTGTCTTATTATCTATTCAACTTATCATAAACCTTTTATTACAGTAAATCAAACACATCATCTATTTGTAAGAAATGTGAGGCAAATGTCAAATTATACGGAAAACCTACAGCATGTGAATATTGTAATACTATAGCTGCATTTATTGGTAAGTTTATTTTAAATTAAAAAAATGCTTATCTATTTTCCGGTAAAGTTATCAGTTTAATTTATCCAGCCTCTAAGTATGACAAATCAATGTAATATGCAAGTAATATGGTTACTACTGCATTAATATTGTAAGTTAATCATTAATCAGGCAATTTACAAGGCAATTTGCCTGAAAGGAACATCCTTTTTTGTGTGTCCCATCCTTTGTTGACTAAAGTTAGGCAATGTGTCTGAATGTGTTAAAGGAGAGGTTATTGCTCTATCTTGAATTCAGATGTCTCTACCTTGTAGGCAACCTTACATTGTAAAAAAATCATTTGATTGTCTTTGCTTTGCTAAAGGGAAAAAAAATATTTGTACAAGTTAGTCAATATAAATGTTAAAGAAACATTGATGTACATTTACTGTATTCATATTTTTCAGGTAATAAATGCCAACGGTGTGCTAATTCGGAACGAAAGTACGGGGCGGCTGTAACTTGCGAGCAATGCAAGCAGAGGTGCGCCTTTGATCGACACGATGATAGCAAAAAGGTATTTTGAATATTTTGATTGAATAATAAAAAATGAAATGTCATAATTTAGTAGATGTCTTTTATTTCTACAAAAGTAATTATCACAGCAAAATACTGAACATGTTGCAGGTGGACGGCAAGCTGCTGTGCTGGTTATGCACACAGTCACTTAAAAGGGCCTTGGCCAGGACCAAGCAGCATCTCTCCGTTGACAAACACAAGCATCGTGGGCACAAGTCAGTTGACATTTTATTATGTCTTAATGCATGTATCATTCATTCATTCTCTAACACACACACACACTTTTTTCTCTCTATTCCAGATGTTTAAGAATTGTCTTGTTAAATTGTGCTTTTAGTTGATTTTAAAAATGGTTAAGTGTGTTTGCAACCAACAGGTTAAGCAGTCACAAAGATAAGCGCAAATCGGACATGATGAAATCTAAAAACTCCGGAGACTCGCTGAATGAATCTCAGCCATCGGAGAAGAAGTCCAAATTAAATCCCTTGCAAGGTTAGTCTAAGAGTGGACGCACACCTTTGACTAAAATATCGCACAACTGTTGTGCGCCTGTAAGTTATAGAAATCAAAGCGAGATTAAACAGTTGTGTAATAGTTTGGCTTCAGATGTGCACTTTAATATTTAATAAGAAAAATTTTAAAAATAACCTTTTATTTCATTTTTTTAATATGTAAATATTCTTTATTAATCACTTTTTATAGGCTTTTAAATAACTATTCTTAAGTGAGTATGAGTTAAAACGGAATGTTTGTAGGTGAGCTGGACCCGAACAGCTCAGACCACGTGGTGGCGATGACGCAGCTGAAGGAGACCATCGCCAGCCTGCAGAAGAAGGTGCAGCAGAAGGAGATGGAATTGCTCTCTAAAGACAAACTGGTAAATATTAACAACCAGCTAGATTTTGTACAGCCAATAGAATCTGCCATAATAGCTTTTGATTCAAATGTTTTCATGACAAATACAATATTTTTTACAAAATTATATCACCCTTCGCAATAATAGTACTTTATTTTTCTGAAAAAAAAAAACATTTAATATACACTCTGAATGTGAGTTTCAAAGTAAAATTGAATTAAAAATGGAAACATATTAAATATACTTGTGATTGATTTTTTAATGTTTTATTTCAGATTACGGAGTTGAAAGCTCAACATCACAACAATACAACGGATCTCCGCAATGAAATGAAGAATAAAGAACGAATGAATGAAACTAAATTCACTCTGATGAACACAAAGATACAAAACTTACTGAAGGAGGTGGCAACACTTAGTAAATCCGCAAAGAAAAATAATAAAAATACAAAATCATTGCTAAGCAACACTGAAAATAGTGGCAGTGGAACTGACAGCCCCAGTACTAATTAGAAGAAATACGATTTTTTTTTTCGTTTCTCAAACAGGTTTATAAACTACCACATTATTTATATTAGTAAGCAATTGTTATCCTTATTTGTACGTATTAGGGATGCACGATTTTTTTTTTAAATTTCTAGTAGATTAATCAACAACTACGAAAAATCAGTTTTTCTTTTTAATGTTTGAATTAAAATAATCCAATTCTTGAAAATAATGTAGTAGCCCACCGATTTAACATATTAAAGTACTGGGGTATGTTATGTTATCCACAATTTTTGTTATATCGAATGAAAAAGAACTAATTGAGAGCGATCTTCTTTTTTAATACGTTAAAAAATAATTTAAGCACCAGTAAAATCCATTACTGCAATAAAATCAAGGAAACATGCAAAATTTAATTTATCTACAAAATATAAGCAAGAGAATATAGAAAATTCTAAATAAAATGTTTCGTGTGTTGAGGAAGTACAGTTTTACAATCAAATGGTAAATCGTAAGAAAAATCTAAAAACCGTAATTTAATTATAATGTTCATAAAATCAAATCTAATTAATAATATTGTACAAATCGGAGATTTAGCAAATAAGTTTTGGGTAAAGTGACAATTGTATTTTTTTTTATTAAATATATTTATATGTATGTGTAATAGTACCGTGCATTCCATATATATTTATAGTAATACAGAATGTATGTAAAATAGAATAGATTATATATGACATAATAAAATATAAAAAAATCGAACTTTATGTTCAACCTAAAAATGTAGATTACAAATTGTTTTGACTGAATTCTTATGTCAATTTTGAATTAACAATATTCGGTGTATAAGTTATATTATCTGTGGTTAGTACTTATGTTAAAAAAAAAGTTTCTAAGCCAAATCGTTTGAGAAACTATCCTTTTATATTCAAACAATGGAAAAATTTTCCTCTTATTTTTTTATTCTACAAATGGTTTCATTTGTAGACTTTTATAAACTTAATCATAAGTAGGTTCCAATTTGACATTTTTTTTTGTTTATTTTTAAGAGTAATTAGCGTTAAGATGAATAATTTATTCATTAGAATGAAGCAATAGTTATTTAAGACAACAAATGCGGGTTGACGGTATTAGATCAAAAAAATTCAATAATCATTTTTGAGATTATATTTTTTTTTGCTCTAAGCATAAAGTGAAACAATAACATGGTTTTTATTTAATTTGGCCAGTGAGATAGAATAATGTGAACGAAACGATTATTCTAAGATTTTTTAATTAAATGTAAACAAAGGCCTAAATTATGGCTATAGGGAATTTATCCCCTTCGACCAGCACATTATTAATTGTTAAAATTAATTATTTAATTACTAATATAGTAGTTTGTATCTTCCTTACTTTTTGCAAGTTTTGTTTTATTGGCAACACTGAAGCAACGGTGGCGACATCTCATTTTTTTCAATTTTGTTCTACATTTTTAAATGATGTTACCATATAATTAAATTTACATTTGTTTACATGTTTTGTCTCGTATCTGGTCGCAGTAATTGTGATTTTTTTTTATTTTGTAATAACGCAAATGCTGTAAGCCATATTGATGAAGCATTGTTATGAATGCGAAGTCTTGTACGCGGTAATTGTTAGCATATCAATGTGATTTCGTTTTAGTGTAGTATTGTGTCCCAAAATAAGTAAATTTATTGAAATTATGTATTGTTTTAATGAATATTTCAGGTCAACATGTACAAGAAATCAATGAATGAACAAATGTAGAAATGTGTTTTAGTGGTTTTATTTTTTCAAACACTTATTACCTTTGATAATTTTAAATGCTAATGATAATGGACTGAGTTTGCAGTCTTTTTTCAGTTTAATAAGCTGTCAGGTTAATATACTTTAGAAAAATAAAACTTTCGAGTTCAACTCTGAACAACAGTCAATTTTAAAATAAATATTTTTTTACTAAGAAATCTTAGTATATGGTTCACAGCAAATGTAGGGGTCGAACTTACGAACACGTATTCGGATGCCTGCTTTATAACTATTGTGTTATTGGCGCTATGATATAGTATATATTATTGATATAAAACAAAGTGGAGTACACATGGGATAAGCTTCATCCCCGAGGTGTCCGGTTACCGAGGGATACGTAGCTTTTTGTTATTTATATAGTTCGTATGTTTTCTAATACCACGCGGACGAAGTCGCGGGTAACAGCTAGTAGTCTATAGTTTTATAGACATAGCATATATTTTCTATTGTTTTCTGAAGTGTATATTTGATTGAAGTTGTAGTTTACTTCGGACATCATTAACCATACGATATCGTTACGCTAATGAAGAGTGTATTCTATCATACAGAGTATGTCAATGTCGTATAAAGCACGCTTTATCAGGCCAATGGTTACGAATGACACGACTGCAGTTTCCACGAAAAACGACTTGTTAAACATGGTTTGTATTTCCGTCATATCTGATCAAATGCGATAATGTTTACGAAAAACTTGATAGGTGACCAGGCAGTTGGTTCCTCTCCCCCTCGCAACGCCTATTATGAGTAATGTGGATATATTTTGATTCATACATTGCGGTTAAAAGTTACTTGGTAGCAATATTCTCTTTGTTTTATTAGACACGTGTGGGAATTTTAAAAAAGGAATATAATGTATCATCTGTTGTGGTTTATAGACCCGTCAAAGTAATATTTTATCATTGAAAGACTATAACACTTTCTCGAGAATGGTTTATGTGTGCATAAAGTTGTTTCCAAAAAGTAAATAGGGCCAATGTATCCAATAATAATAATAATAATAATCATTTATCATCACCCCAATATAATTCATACAGGATTCCGTTTGATTCATCCGATGGATACGAATAGTCAAAAGTAATATTTTTTTTATTTATTTATGATGAGGTACACGGTATTAAAAAATACATCCTACCAAAATATAGTGAATAGTTTGACTGTTATATATGTAGATATAAAAAAGGTAATAGGATAGATAAATTAAACACAGGAGACACCTCTGTGGTTATTTCATTTATCTTTTAATGTAACTATAATTATATTTCAGGGAAGACTAGGAAATAGGTAGTTGTCATTAGAGATAATTTAATAAACCATGAAACGCATATAAGTAACTGTTACCTTAGTGTTTTACGTTTTCACAAAAACTCGTTAGACGATGCCAAAATAAGAGCTCTTAGTTCTAGATATTATAATTATTATTCTAAATTATGAAGAATCTTAATGTATATATTAGTATAGGAAATATGAAAAAAAAAATATTTCAAAAGTAATACAATCTACACTGTCCTATCATACATTATCTCTTACTTCTCAAATCACTTTCCGAAAGTACCAACACCCTCACACTAGACCAAGTCTGTGTGGTGAGAGTTTTATACTGTAGAAGAGAGTATAATTTATGTGCTTTTATTTTTCTTTTGTAATCATTTAAAATTTAAGACAAAATCATCGTGCTCCCCTATTTGCAGTGAATAATTTATCGTCAATGTTCAATGAACTGAATAATTGCGATGTCGCGCTGCACATTCGCTGTTGGTATACATGACGTTGATTTGATAAAACAAAACGAGAAAAACATGTTTTGAAGATACAAGCATTTTACTCTAAGCACGTTCGAGGCGTTAAAGCGATTCTTCATGCTGTCTATCTTCCGTCTGTTCGTACTGATGGTATTTACAATCAATCATGAGTGTTACATTTACTTGGAAAATGTACACAATACCCTGACGCATGCCTTATTCATAATCCATTAAATATTGATAAAACTGAAAAAAAAAAGAAAAACCAAACGTGTAAAACTAAACTTGTTGAAATCATGTTTTTAAATTCAATTAAAAATGTTCTTATAACTCGTACGTATTTAAAACAAAAATATGAAACGGTATATTTTTGTAAAGCAAACATTGTTAGGAAGTTCGGCGAAATTATTAATATTGGCCGCCCTAAGCTTAGGTGTAATATAACACACGTCCAATACCAACAGCTATAAAAATACGATTTAGTTGTTTAGTTTATTATTGCTTCAAAAAATTTAAAATATTAACTCCTACATATTTACGAACTGTTTATCGGATAAGGTAAATAGTATTTTAGCAATGCTAAATATTTTTTATGTGGATTTTTTAAAACATTTCTTTTAACTTGTATTCATTCATTGTGCATTTTAACAAGTATCCTGAATTATCGAAGCGTTTTTTGTTATTTACCTTGTAAAGATACGTAATATAAAAATCACTGACAGATACTCAAATAAAGGCAAATTAATGCGCCGTAAAATGAAAGATTCTATATCTCTCATTAGCTAACAAATAATCAGGGTTCACTGCCATGATCAGCTTAAAAACCATCATTATCTTCGTGCCCTTTCCCCTACGCAGAGTCGGCATAGTATGTACTCTTCTAGTTCCCTACATCTCTATAATTTGCCATATATATCAATTCACTGCCTTCTTAGGTAACGCTTATCATCTTTTGTACGATTTGGTCCACATTGTTCGATCTTTGGTCTTTAAAGCTAAAGCCTTTATAGCCACACAAGTTCAACCTCACTAATTTAAAAATATAGTATAGACATCACGTTTTACCATATTGCCAAAATATTTTGAGTTTCCCTATGATGTTTAAAATACGTAAATGGCAAATAATATAATACCTATAGATTTGAGTCATTCTGTACAGGAAATTTAGGTAATACAAAAGCTTGCGGTCTCAAAAACCCTACGTTGTTCTGTAATGCTACCGCATGAAACGGAATGAATTTGAATAGAAATTGTTTTTCAACTTAACATAGTCATTATTATATCGTGAGTAATAACAAAATGTCTCCAAAAGCTTATCAATTTATATATAAACCGTAACTTAACAGTGGTCACCGTAGGTGTACTATTTAGTTACTCGTACGCGTTCGAACTGCACACTTCAAACATGCATTCGAAAATAATATTTATTTTCGCATTATGTGGATTCGTTCATTCAAAATGTAAGATAGTAAAATAAATTAAAGTATTTTATTTGTAACAATTTCTATAATTTTATTGACTTAAATGAATTGTGTGTTTTTATTTGTTTTATTATAATTTCAGTGATAAATCTATCCTGCAATCAAATTCGCGATATTGTCGATGGTCATAACGCTCGCAGGCAACAGCTGGCGCAAGGAGTGGTGCCCGGACATCCCGCGGCCTCGGATATGAAGTATATGGTTAGTAAATATCTTCACTAACTACAAGTAATACATTGTACGACAGTTTTAAACAGTTAACAAAACTATTTTATAACTATACTGTGGTCTTTAACTAATAACAAAACATAGATTTTGATTTTTATTTTTTTCTCATATCTATCCCCATTAGGTAATGCCCCCACGTAAATGGCCAGTAATAACCACTTTTCTACATTTTCAGTATAGAAGTAAATAAATCGCTAATAGAGTTACAGTTTTAGAGTTACATAATGACATTGTTTTACTATTTTACGTAACGTTATGTTTAAAAATTGTATTTGGTTATTTTAGGTTTGGGATGAAGAATTAGCTGCAAAAGCGAGGAAATGGGCTTCAAGGAATGAATTTAATCATAACCCGGACAAAACTATCGGTAACATTGACCAAATTTTAATATAATTAACAAAAAATTCTACTTTTTAAATTATTGATTTACAAAACATATATTAGCAGTTGATTATAATCCTTTGAATATTAAATCCATTATAAATTTATATTTTCTTTTCAGGTTCCGGTAGATTCAAAACAGGTGAAAATCTTTACTCCTTCGGCAGTACCTCTCCTGGTGCCAAAATAAATATAGATAAAAGTCTTAGTGCGTGGTTTGATGAATACAAAGACTACACATACGGTCCGTTGACGAGAAACCTCTTTGATGGTTCATCAGATGTTCAAATTGGTCATTACACGCAGGTAAACTTTGTAACTATACTCGTATTAACTATTCTATGTAATTGAATCTACCTATACCTCGCCTGACACAGACTACAAAATTGCTGGTATACTTGTTTTCAGAATGTTTTTTTTTTATAATTCAGGCACAACAATAACCAGCATAGGATTATTTAACATTATAATTAATGCTAAATTAAAAACCTACATTCTTCAATTCAAATGGAATTTTTATGTAAAGAATGTGATAAAGATTTCAGCTTCAGCTTTTAATAAAGGGCTATGAGATTACAATGTAATATGTAGTAAATATTACTAAAACTTATTGTAGATGGCGTGGGCTGATACTACGTACGTTGGATGCGGATTATCACAATATTGGGAGCGTGGTATGAAAACATTCCTCCTTGTTTGCAATTACGGACCAGGGTGAGTATTTTACATAAAAAATACATACATTTAAAATGAAATATTCCTTCTATATAACAATTTTTAGTATATAATCAAATAACACGTTTTGTTTAGTTGAAGGTTAGGTAAAGAGATTTTGGTAATCGTTTTATAATAGTTTCTTAGATTTACATTATCGTCTTAAATACTTTTTAAACGTTATGTCGATGTTTATTCACAACTTTGAATTTATTAATTATTAAATAATGTCTTTACCACTTTGTTCTATAAAAACCATTAGCCATTTATATGTACTCTAGAGTCACTGTTATTTTGAATTCTGTCGTCATTTAAGAATAAATTTTATTTATTATTAGATTTATTTATATAACCCAATAATATAATTTTAACTCGTTTAATTAGGAAATATGAATTAGGCAAAATCTAAGCATTTATAACTTTGAACATTTTCCTTTCAGAGGTAACATCTTAGGGCAGACGCCGTATACAGAATCTGATGAGGGCGGGAATAGCCTTCAGTGCAGCATTGGTGACTGCAGTGCCCCCTACGGGGACAAATGTTGAGATCGCAACTTATAAAATATTCTGTCACAATTTTTTCCCATTTCAGTAAAATATTTTTTGACGAAAATATTTTTTACTTCTATTAGATCGAAAACTTGTCTAAGACTATAGATAAATGCAAAATTAATTATTGAAATGTATTGATATTAATTGGCAAGCTTTTTGATGACATTTCTGTTTCACTGGGACAAATTTCGACGATATTAATTATACATATAATTAATCTAATGATTGTTTGATATTCGATCGCAAGTGGGGAGTGAATTTATTTTTTTTATTGTACAATTCTTGTAAGTAAAGTGAATGTATTTATGCCAGATTATGGTTTTAAATAAATCAATTTGTATCTCACACTTTTCTTTTTTTTTGAAAACCTGTCTTAGTTCTCCCAGTTTACATTGTTGTTGTAAGGTAAATTTCATATACCCGCTGTAAAATTACTGTATGGTAGTTGAATTTCAAGTAAAGAGTTGAAATTAAAAATAATAATAGTACATAGTACACATTGTTCGTCATAGATGAACATAGAATACCCTTAAATCGGAATTCTAAACGCGTATTGAGTGACAGCCCAAGCCGAGGTCCACACTCGGGGGCCCTTGTGCCTAGGCAATCCATGGAGCGTCCACCGATGCGGTCTAAAAGCTCGGTGGCCTCCCAATCCGGTAATAATAACGAAGTAACGGCCGAGCTGAGGCTACTGAGGGAGCCCTCTAGCCTAGTTACTCATAAAAGAGGTTTAGGCTAAGCGCCATCTGCGCTCGGCCACCTCAAGCCCGGTGAATCTGTAAATGCCCCTTCAAGGCAAACAGTGACAGAAAAAAACTAAACGAAGTATTTAACTCATAACGAAGATAAAATGTTAACCTAGCAGTAATTTGCAAATTTGGTTAACAAAAATTCAAATAAAATCTTAATGTTACGAATCTACGATTTTCATAAGTAACACCAGTCATACTTTTCAAAGTAATTAATACAAGTTAATAATTCTTCATTCTGTGTTGCGGTAAGAGTTGACCTAGTCCAATTTCCGTATGTCACTTCCAGTAATTCTATTGGAAGTTCTACATGTTCAATGATTCATAACATTTCGAACACGGTCAAAACCATTTACAAATTGACATCTGTCATGTCATGATTCAAGTAACGACAATAGGAAGAGGCAATAAGAGAGATTCCACACTAGTTATTTGGCACGTTGCAGTGGAACCTCTCCAATTTTTTTCAATAAGTGAAGTAGAACGAATGCAAATGAAACATGCGCAGGTATTGAAGAGAGCAGAGAGTGAAAAATCCCTTTAAAAAGTAGGATAAGTTACATAAACTGTCCATAGCAGACATTTTTACTTTTCATAATTTTATATGATAAGATGGCAAATGTGGGAACGGCCATCTGTATTCGCCGAAAAAGCGAAGAGACTGCTGGCAATAGACATCAGCAGTTCTAAATGCGTTTTCTACCATTAAACGACGGAGAAGACGCACAAAGATATGATATCTCTCCTTTCGTCATCTTCTACATCGTCAAATCGACTACCTAACCTTTCCTTGAATTATTTAACGCTTTTACAGTAACACGGTTATTGTAAATCCTTTGTTTTGGTATTAGTATTTAGTCATAAGAAATAAATAACAACCTCTGACTATCAGGTATGTTAAGACAGTGAAGAGTTTAGGTGCGGTGACCCTTAGACAAAGAGCGTATGTTGAATTCATACAGCATGAGTCCAGAACCGGTTGCATTCGCTTCCCCTATCGCATAGGATCAGAGATACTATCAGAGTGTTGTATAATATTTGTTGTAAAAGAAATAACTCAAAAACTACTGAGCCGATTTTAAAATTTCTTTCAGCATTAGAAAGCTAAGTAATCAGTCAGTTATGTACATGGGCTGTATTTTTTTGTTTAATTTCACGCCGGCGAAGTCGCGAGCAACAGCTAGTGCATAATAAGTTTTTACTAATGTATCGGCGATGGAAACCTGTGGTAATTATGTCTTATTATGTCACATTTATTTTATACTAGCTTTCGCCAGCGACTCCGTCCTCGTGGAATTAAAAAAAAAACTAAGTAGCCGAGGTGTTGTTCCAGACCATACTCTACATCTGTACCAAATTTCTTCGAGATCCGTTCCGCCGTTTATGCTACAACATCCATCAATCCATCCATCCATCCATCTAAACTTTCGCATTTATAATATTAGTAAGATGTGAACTTCTCTTACAAGATTTTAAGTAGTTGGTTTAATTTTTCCTTTTAATTTGTAATTCTTAAACCATCTCGGTCAAATATAATGATATAGAATAACGAAAAAATTGTTTGCTTTGTTTTTTTTTATTGTTGTTCAAGTATTGAGTATAACCGACAACCCTAATTCATTGCGGTTTTCTTGTATGAATGGCGTCGTGTTTTTGTTAGTTCGTAATTATAAGGAAAAATTTTGAATTTTTCGCTAAAATCAATCGAATAAATATCTCGTTATATCTTTAGCAGTATAAGTATATTTTTATGTAAATTTTGTATATTTATATAATCGTAAAAGCCGACAATGTTAATACTAGGGCCTAAGTTTATCATCATTTTCAGGACTCATCAATTTAGATTAAGATATATCTCAATAGATGTTTTGTAACAATACTTCATGGAAATAAATTATTCATTCATTGATCTTAATTGTTAGTAGCGCAGTAGGTAATAGGAGATAACATAAGCGGTCACATTGTACCGAGTATTTATTTAAAGTGAAAGCGAACAATATCTATGCATATATATCTTCAAGTACCAGGAAACAAGGTGAGTGGTTAATTCGACAAAAACCCGACATGATATGTTCGCTGTTGACCTGTAAAGTATTAAGAATATTCAATAATTGAATGGGTACCGCTTTCACCGGTGTGACAACCCTAAGCCCGAGGCGATGACACGCGTGAGTCATTTCTCCGGCGTCAATTTTATACCTTTCGTCCAAACGCCGGTCTACTATAAAATAAGTACTTATAATTGCAAGACGTCTGCGTACGAATCTCAGTTACTGTTTACCGGCGCACATTAGAGATCGTCATGTTGAATTTTAAATTCATTCTTCTATTCGCAATATGCGGTTTTACTCAAGCTAAATGTACGCGTTGTATTTTTAAATTGGATTAATTATTGTACAGTTTAGAAGTTAAATTATTAATTGTTGTGTGTTTCAGTGATAAATCTATCGTGCAAACAAATACGTGCGTTCGTGGATGGTCATAATTCTCGGAGATTGCAGCTAGTAAAGGGTCAAGTGCCTGGTCAGCCTCCTGCTTCAGATATGAAGCTTATGGTATTTAAATAATTTAATAGATATTTTATTTGTCAGTTTAAATATTAATACAGTATTGTAATATCTGTGTTTTAAAGTTGGTCTATTAAAAGTACACTCCTAGAATTGAAAACCCGTAATTAATTCTGCACGTATAAAAACGTGTTAACGTTTTTAAGCAGTTAAATAACTTTGCGTACTTAAGTTTTGTTATCGTAAATGTGAATTGTAATAGTTATGTGAAGGTATTTGCAAAATTTTGCTGTATGTACCGATAGTTATTGAATTTTATTTGCATTTTGTTACTAAAATCAATCAATACAATAAGCAACAATAATGTAACGATTTAACCAATATTAAGTTTTTTTACGACGTAGTACCAAATAGACGGCTTAGATATGTTTTTGCAATATGCCGGTTTACACACATTATCCTCATTCGAATTATTTTTTAATTCAAGTTCAATTTGTTTTGGTCTGAGCGAACATGCATAGTGTAAATGAGTAATTAAACTGTATCCTGTAAACCAATATTTTAAAGAAATAATTAGCCAATATGTCAAAATAAAATAAATAAATCATAAATAACTTAAACAAGAATATCACAACCCATCACTTATGTACATATATAAGGCCAGAGTATAGCTAATAATCGTTTTAGCATTATAATTTGATTAATGTTCTAACAGTGCCACTTTGGCTATACCTAATTATCGCTTAATAAAGACATAATTTCCAGTTAATTGTTCGTGTAAATAAAACTCTTATCAATGATTATTACTTCACTGCCAAGCATTGTTTAACTACGTATCGTTTTATGCATACGTTTGTTGTTTTTTAGATGTGGGATAACGAATTGGAGGCAAAAGCGGCGAAATGGGCGTCTAGAAATAATTTCGCACACAATCCGGACAAAACGATAGGTAAATATTTTAACAGAGTCTAACTAAAGGGTTTGTTATCTAAATTTATTGACAACTTTAAATCTGTGTGACATATTCTTGCTATTTGTAAAAAATACAGACAAATTGATAACACCTTTTTCGGAAATCGGTTAAAAAAACGATTTATAACATGTACTTACACTACGCTAAACAAAAAAAGATTTATTGCAAACATTAATAGGATTTTTTCCTGCGTCTGATTAATTTTTTTTATATTATTTGCATATTAAATGTATACTCAATTGATATTGTACAATTATTTACTGTTTTTTGGGAAGGATTTATTTTAATTATATTACTACTGGTTCCTTTCTCAGGTTCCCGAAGGTTCCATACTGGGGAGAATCTTTATTGGTACGCGACAACAGACCTGACTCATAAGCTAGATGTTGAAAGCAGTTTAAGGTCTTGGTTTGACGAACATCGGAACTACTCGTACGGGCCCTTGACTATGCGGGACTTTACTAAGTCTACCAAGAAACAGATCGGTCACTACACACAGGTATATACAATTTCAATTATTGTCCTTGTTACATTAAAACTAGTCAAATAGATCGAAATAAAGAGGAAAGTATTTTTGTGCGTATTGAAATAACTCAAAAACTACTGAAACCAATAAATAGCTACGTAATCACTGAGTATCATAGGCAATATTTATTACAATTTTAAATTCCGTTTGGACAAAGACGCGAGCAACAGCAAGTATCCAATTACGACTTTAGGGAAAGTATCAAATCGAAAAGAAATTTTTAATTCGCGTGTTTACGTTGAAAACAAAATATAAATTGTCCTTTAAATAAGTTTTTGACCGACTTCCCAAAAGAAGGAGGTACTCAATTCGTCTGTATGTTTTTTTTTATCAATTCCAATGTTGCGATGGAGGTCGATTTTTAACATCCGTGGTTTATGTTTTTTTACTAATTGATGAGAAATCATTGAATCCACATTCTGTAAGTTTAATTGGCGTGACAATTCTTTGTTATAACGTTTGGCATTGAACAAATAAATATGTTTTTTAATTGTAACTTTTAGATGGCGTGGGCAAGTACGATATATGTTGGATGTGCGATATCCCAGTACACGAAAAATAACTTCAAAGAATTCCTTGTTGTTTGCAATTACGGGCCAGGGTAAGTGTAAACTGATATCTAACTGTTGGTTTCAATGGCAAAGCACATGTATAAGAACCATTCCTTTCATCGAGTTCAGAAAACAAAGACAGTAATATGTTGGTAATTTGGAAGTAAGCGGAGATGTGGGAAATTTTCTTGTTTTTAAACTATCGTTGGTGTTTTGAGAACTTGTGGTGAATCGAGCGAATAAAAGTTCAAATTATTACACAATAATAATGTCTAAACAAAAATAATATGCCAGAAAGGATATTTGATTCCTTAATTAAATGACTTGGCCTTAGTCAAACACGATGGCCTATTGCGGGTTTGTTGACTTCACTAACATGTTTGAATTTCTTTGCCGATATGTGCAGGTTTCATCGCGATGGTTTTCTTCACCTTAAGAACGTCGGGAAATTATGTTCATCTAAAATCTAAAATCCCATTAATATATGGCAGGATTCGAACCCAGGACCTATTATAGACTGTTGTCTTGTTGGTCAAATGACTTGTTAGTCAAATGCTTAAACCCCTAAGCCACCACAGCTCATGTAATATGTTGTTTGTTATTTTAAATATTTATTTCCAGTGGTAACTACATTGGACAGAAGCCGTACGAATCCCGGCGGCGACGTGGTGCAGCAAATGCTCTGACTTGCGGCGCTAAAAACTGCAACCAACGATACGGCGATAGATGTTGAAAATTAAAAACAAAATATAATACGAACATATTTTTTGTACATAGTTATTTTAAACAGTGTATTTTAATGTAAGAAATATTGTTAATGAGAATTTTAATAAATGCAATATTATATTTCTCATTAATGATTGGAATAATGGATTTATTAAATTAAAATTATTGTAAATTACAATTGTTTATTTCTACGCGTAATTCCTTCTCTATACATTCATAAAACATGACTTAAGAGATTAGAAAGACTACCTAATTGAGAGGTTAATTATTAGAAAAGAAATCTATTTTTTTCTGATCTCTTCTGAACAAAGTTTACTCTGAACATACCAGTTAATAATTCTTGGTTATAACGACCATACAAACAAAACCGCTGTTAAAATCAAGTTTCTTAATACCAACATCATAAACATATACAAAGTTCACTATTAACTTAGAATAACATTGATGTACAAACAAGTTAGATTATATCATTGCATACAAGTCATCTTACCTTGTAATGGACGAACAGTATTGTATATATTTCCCAGACCTTTAACAGACATTCCAATAGCCGTTCTCACTGTGGAAACATGCACATAAAACATTATACTTGTTTAGGGATGGCAATAAAATTCAAACAGGATGACTCAAACATACAAAAAGACAAAACCAAATAAATCTTATGCTTTTGATATCAAACTGCAGGATGACAACAAATTGATACGCATTACTAAAATATGTTGAATGGGTTTGTAAAGTAGAGGCTTCCTTGTTGCGTTTTAATTTATTTTGTTTTGCTACTAATTTATGTTTCGTTTAGTATAGTATAGTATATAGTAGCAATTTAGCTACCACCTTCAAAATATCTTTTGTCATGAATTTGGAACAATAAAACTGTGTTTCGTCATTTTAATTGCATTAATATTTTAATATAACAACGTTTATTGAACTATGAAATTATGAACATTTCTCTACATCTTACTTCTTGCTAATATTATAAATGCGAAAGTTTAGACGGATGTATGTTTGTTAGAGTTTGTAGCTTAACTGATGAACGGATCTCTATGAAATTCGGCATACATGTAGAGGATAGCCTAGAAGTCTAGAAGAACATATAGGCTACTTACTTT